AAGAGTGGAGTAAGATGAATTGGTTACCAGTTGTACAACTGGTACAGGTATTGAGATAAACTAATGCAGCAAAAGCAATATTGAACAATTAGAGAAACTGAAATAGAGCTTATATATAATGAAATATGACTTTCAAAAAAGTAGCATTGGCACATCCTTGCCCAGGATGGGCAACTTGAACAAGTTAACTATTTCCAAGTGAAAACATTAATGTTATACACAGTGATAATTCAGTAATGCATTGATCTCTTCCACATCTTTGTGCTGTACCTTTCTTGCAGACATCTGTAAATTAAAATTGATTTAGCGTGTTTTAATATTTGTGAACCATTTTTACATTAGTAAAACCAAAAGCAATCATGCAAATTTGTGGACAGTGAGTTTCAATGCTTGTTAAAGGAACCAGGCAAAAAAATTAAAAATAGAATTCAAATAGAGAGAAATATTATTTTTTATAAACATTGTATGTTTATATGTGCATATGTCTATGTTTTCAATTAAACAATCAATGTTTTCAGAAACAATATATCCATTATTGGGAGGAAAGGTGCTACATGAAAATAATATTGTATATACTAGAGAATCGTATATACCAGAGGTCGCAGGACAGTTGAACCATTGACTCAAATTGCCCCACAACCACCATTTATATAAAAAATAAATAAATAAAAGTACCAAATTGAGTAATTTAGGTCTTTCCGTGTTTGCAAATCATAAAAATGGCAAATTCAAATTTTAAGCCTAGATAAACCAAAAAAATAAAATGATTAAAATCAATGTTTTAAAAGCATACATTTAAATATATAGCACATTTTCCTAAATGCTACCCTCAATCACAATCACGGTCCATATTTGAGTCATATGAGTCTCAAGATTCCTTATTTGGTGTTTATTTTGTGATAGAAGTAATATTGAGAGAGAAATTTATACATTTGTGACCGTAAAAATGCATTAAAAAAATTCAATGGAGTTTGAATGGCACCCGGTGGCTAGTTTTAGTATAGGAACCTACATTTTTTTTTTTATATCAACTTCAAATTTGGAGCACAACTTGTTTAGACATGTTCATGGTCCTAAATGAGAAAAAGTTACACAATTTCTGGAAGAAAAAGATAAGTTAAATAGTATTTCATATACATTAAAAATAGAAATGAAAGCTCACTTTTATCATATGAGTCTGAGAAAGTCTTATTCAGTACTGAAAATAATGAGAAAAAGCTAATTTCTTCTCTTTCCAGGGTAGTAAAACACCAACATAACAACATATACCCAAGAAATATATTTAACTTGGGTCTGTACAGTGGCTTTAAAACAAAAAAAATAAAAATAATGTGGGTCAAATTGACTCGCGAACATCAAAATCGTAACAAATTTATGTGTGTGCACTTCAAAACACATCAGTGTATCCTCACTTTGCATGCATGTTCATGGCCCTAAATGAGAAAAAGTCACAAAATATCAAGAATAAAATCACAGGTTAACTGGTATTTCCAAATGGGTCAAATTGACCCAGAACATAATACAAGGGTTAAATAAATTATTTTGTTGGTTTGACTTAAAAATCATATATCAAAAAGACATGCTTTTTGACATGTATGCTATGTTACATTAGCTTATATAGAGTGCTTTTGGGATGACATATTTTAGGCCAAATCCCAGAAACGAGTTAGCGTTTCTGATTCCCATTATCCTGAATGGGTTTTTGGCTAATGCCTGAAATAAGGTAACACAGGAACAAGCTTTTTTTCTACAACATAAAATACATCCGTAATACCCTAATCTCTTGGTCACAAAGCTTGTTTTCTGCAATAATTCAAAAGCCAATGAATAAATCCAGGCATTTGTCCCCTACAAAAACACATCATCACTGCAGCACTCTATATGAAAATCAAGGGAAATTCTAAAAACATTTTTAAAGCAGCATTTTGTCCTTAAACACAGGACAAAGTTATCAGTGAACAACACTGATAATTTAAAAAAAGATCAGGGATCGGCAAATAAAGGCCTGAATAACATCAGTGCACCAGGCATGAGATCTATGCTGTATTAGTCTTTATGCTGGATAAATCCAATTGTTTCATGAAGACGTTTTGGAGTCTTGTGTGTTTTTCCTTTTCACATCATTCAAGTCCACTGGTGTAAAAGCTGAAGAGCAGAAACAAACAGTTAGAGAGCATGCATGCATTTAAAAAAAAAATTGCAGGTGACTTTAGGAAAAGGATCAGAAAATATAAAACTGCATTCAGTTTTTAAGAAAAATCGTCATTGGCAAGATAAGGGCTGAGATACAGCTGTTCAAACAGCCAAATATTTCAACCAATAGTTATTATTTATCATTCTATGTTCCTTCAACAACAAAATACAATCCTCAGAACAAATAAACTAGTTACATACAGCTTAGTGCAGGGTTTGGCGTCCTCTCCACATACTTCTGAGGTCCCTGGATATTGTTTTCACTTCCCTGGCAAGTCTGCATTTCTCTCATGACACGCTGCCAAGCTGTTGGAAGAAGAGTTAATGTTATAGAAAACTCTAATTCCCCCAAAATATACTCTTCTCTTAAAAATAGGATATTTTTGATGGGTCTCTGACATTTGAAAAGATTTCTCACGAGGCAACTTACTGTAATGAATGAATCGCACATTTTCCTCGTGTGCTGGTGTGAGTAGTTCTTCAGTGTTGGTTGGGGAACAGGCTCCAGACGTCTGCTTATAATTCTGAACCATTTTTAAAGTTGGAGAGCTGCCCACAACACTGTCAAAATCCCTACGCAACAGTTTACTATTATTAAATCAAATTTAAAACACTTAAGTGACAGGCCCACTGTGAAAGATTCTATTATTAAATGGGCAACACGGATTCAATTCCCTGATTATTTGTGTGCTATCTAGGAAGTGTCAAAAGCACAAAAAAAGGCGGCTAAAATCTGAATAAAACTGGCTAAAAACTGTAGGAACAGCTTTTAGAGCCGGTCTATTCCTAAACGTATATATTTAATTCTAGATGTTAGCTGTAGTTCAAACTATCACAGCAAACTAGCTCGGTATTTCACTAACGTTACGCCAAGCGAAGTTTTATGGTCAGTCTCACAAACACTAATTTGCCGTTATATAGCATTCAAATAGCAAATGTGTCTTCATATTTTCCCATAACATAACAATATTTTCGCGACAGATATCCGGCTAGTTTGGCAAGCTAACGTCAAATAACAAAAACCCTCGGCAAAACACAACAGAACTCGATGCTTAAACCAGGGATCGATTTAACGTAACTAATATATTACGATTAATGTGACTAAAACTTTTGCGCATTCGAGACTTACAAAGTGGCGTTGAAATCCTTTGTCCCAGCCAAAAAAACAATTATCAAAACAACGTACACCGCTGTGCTCAGTTGTGTCTAGCACAATCAGTGATGTCAGATTGGAGAACGAATCATTCGTTTGAATCGGATCTTTTCAATGAATCACAAATATCGGTTCGCCATCAACATACTACGATGCCACTTCTTTATGTGAAATAGATGGACCAGTGTGCGTGCGCTTGCAGACATGTCTGACTCCTAAAGGAGCTGAAATCCAATGAGTGTACTGACAGTAAGGCTAATTGGTATTTAACGGGAAAAAATGTAATGGGTCAAGCAGGGGCGTAGATTACGCGGGGGACGCGGGGGACGTGTCCCCCCCACTTTTAATATCACGTAAATTCGTCCCCCGCACTTTTTCGGGCAAGTGTGTTCGCATAGAGGTTTTCAAGAGCTGGTGTGAATAAATATAGATTTAAATTAAAAGAGACAGTATAGTCTGTGCATGATCTGATGCTTTATTCGGACCCAGATTAAAACGAGATTAACATCGCGGAGCGCTAAACACTCATGCAGTGTGTGTTTCATTCACCATTGAATAGCTGGAAATAAACAGTGCTAGGATTCCAAAAAAGATCAATTGCATAATAGCCTACATTTGCCAGTCTGAAGCCAATATATCATTTATTATTATTATTTATTGCAAATGAAAATACTGAGTTATGAAGTAGCAGAAGGCAAACGGACATCATCGCATGAAGCTAAGAACTACACAAATCAACAGAATATATGGACAACAAAGAAAAAAACAACTTTTAAACAGAGCAGAAGTAAAATGGAACTTTATATATATTTACAATGAAGGTGAAATTTACCCATGAAGACAAAGCAAAAATACAATATGTTCAAGATGAATGTCCTTAGAATGAAAATCTGAAAAAAAAAAAAAAAGATAAGTTTTGTCATTGTTACCTAACATGATAACTTCTGACCAAAAAGACTTGGCGAATGGGCAATGATAAAACAGATGTAGAATAGATTCTTCATCAATATTACAAAATGCACACGAAGATATATTTTCAGAAAACCTGCTCAAGAATAAATTACAAAGGTATCTATGAACTATTTTGAAATGGAGTTCTTTCATTTTACTTTCTAATAAAAAGTCTGAAAGGTCCACAAGTTTTTCAATTCAGTTTGGATAACATATCCTCCATTTAAATTGTGCTTTAGAGGGGCTTAGTAAAGAAGTTAGTAAAACTCGAGAAAATTGTAGCGCTCCAAAAAGAAATAAATAAATATATCCTTGTACTGCAGGTGCGTAGAGCCAGTAGGATATTTGAAAATGAGCAAGAGGGTGGCTAACCGCACACTGATTGAGCACTGAAGATAGCAATGTGCTGAAACGTTTGCTTGCTTGCTCGTGTCCATTTTTTTTATTCACATGCACTTTGCACAATGCAATTTTATAAAAAACAGCAGAGTCGTGGTAGAAAGTTCGGAGATGGTATTAAAGTAGCTCAGTTTAAATGTATTGTATGAATTGTCCTTACTATGGAATAAAAAGTACGGGGTGTCTATTTACATTTAGTTAAAAGTGGCTGTAAATCATTAATTCCAGTGGCACAGATGCACAAGTGTGTGCCCTTGGGTTTTTGACGCGATCGACCCGGGTTCGATCCCACCTTTTGCCGAACTTTTTTTTCCCCTCCCTTTTCAAATCTATCAGTGTGCGGTTAGCCACCCTCTTGCTCATTTTCTAATAAAGAAGTTAGTGCATTATTTATATACGGTGGCTGAGAAGTGCAAAGCAAATCACAATTCTGAAAACAAAATAACAAATTACAAACGCAAATGCAAGTCTAAAAAACAAGTATTGAGTGTAAATTATCATTTTCATTTAAATTTTTTAATGAGTGCCACCTTATTGGTACAATAAAGCCCTCCCTACACCTACCCTAACCCTACCCGATACTTTATTTTCAACTTTTTGATTATTTCCTTAATTTTTATTGAAAATAAATGCCTTTACGATGTGATACGAGATTTGAAAAGGGAGGGAAAAAAAGTTCGGCCGAGATTTGAAAAGGGAGGGGAAAAAAAGTTCAGCAAAAGGCGGGATCGAACCCGGGTCGACCGCGTCAAAAAGCCAATGACTAACACTTACCCATCTGCACCACTGGAGCTGATATTTTAAAGCTACTTTTAACTAAATGTAAATATACACTCCATATTTTTTATTCCATAGTAAGGGCAATTCATACAATACATTTAAACTGAGCTACTTTAATACCATCTCCGAACTTTCTAACACGACTCTGCTGTTCTTCGGCTGGTTCTTCCTGTATACGTTGATTGACAGATGTCTCCTCCAGTCAGCGGTGAGTAATCCCAAACCAATGGCGCTGTCTCAAACTATACCTACCTTTTCCGGTTTGTCTGATTTGTCGTTGTGTTTTCTGACTTGTTATTTTGTTTTCGAATTTGTCATTGTGTTTTCTGACTTATTATAATGTTTTCTGAATTGTTGTTGTGCTTTCTGAATTGTTATTTTGTTTTGTAGACTTGCATTTGCGTTTGTAATTTGTTATTTTGTTTTCAGAATTGTGATTTGCTTTGCACTTCTTGTCCACCGTATTTATCTAATACATAAACACCATTGAAAATGATTGCTTAAACAGCCACAAATAAAGTAATTTGTTACCAGACAATATATTTTCATTGTTTCAAATAATACGCATGTGCTATGGATGTAAGAAGGATGATGTTTAAAAGTAATCTTCCAGGACAGTTACAGGACAATAAAAAACCAAAGGTACTCAAAACCAGAGTAACTCATTAGATAAACAATTCTTAATCTAGTTAATTTTGAAAGTCTGGTTAATGATTTTAAATTCTAAAGTATTAGGACCACCCTCCTTATAATTTCTTATCATAGAAGTCCTTTGAACACATTCTGTCTTATTTTTCCAAATAAAGTGGAATAGCAGAGACTTAATAAATTTAATAGTTTTTTGATCAACACAAAGGGAAAAAGCAGGATAAACTAGGCGTGATATGCCCTCAGCCTTAGTCAGCAGGACTCTCCAATAAATTCTCTCTGCAGCCAGCAACATAAAATCTTTTTAATACTGTCTAACCTTGGCTGCAAATTGTGATAGATATGGTCTGAATCTGATCTGCAGATATCAACCCCTAGATATTTTACATGAGTTTAACTTTAATACCATCAACCAAATTTTGATTTTAATTATGTACATATAAAATTTCACTTTTGTTGGAATTTACTACTAATCCTGAAGATTAATGCATTATTATTTTATGTATATTGTGTAGCTATGGACACAGACAACAGCCAAAATAAAACAGACAGCATTGTTTTTTTTATGTATATTTAGGTATAAAAACATTTAATCCATTACATGTATAAAATTAAGATTTTCTGTACAATTTCTTGTTTTATATGTAAATGGGAAAAAAAATCACATACAATCACAGTGAGCTATTTATCAAACTCACACTATAGTGCATTGATCTGCGAAAAATCATGTTTTAAAATAGAAAGTGTTAACTATAACAAATTGACAGAAAAGCTGTTGTGACTGTCATTAGCTTACAGCAAGAACACACTGCATCGTCTACACTGGAACAGTTCCTTCTTGTTGAGGCAAGTGCATCTCACATCCTAATCAATGTCATTGGTCCCAATGCACAGGACCAGACAATTATAACCAGACACTCTGTCAAGGTGTCTCAACTACCAGCTCCAATGCATACACAGTGGCTGTTCCACTCCTTTACCGGTTTCATCCTTTTAATGTGGCAACTGCCATAACAGACGAGAGCAATCAGAACTTCAGTGTCAGGCAAGTTCAGGCACAACCGACCCCGAAGATTTCAAGCAGCTCTTTGCTGTCTGGGTCAATAAGGTCAGCAGGCTTCTCCCCACAGTCATTTTCAGCCTCAGTGTCTGCACCCAAAGAAAGCAAGTACCTGAAACAAAAAGAAAAACTACCTTTAAATCTTTCACAAGTTGCTTGAGAATATAGCTGGTAAATGCTTTCATTCATTCTTTCTTTCTTTTTTGATAAGGCTTCTTTGCTGGAACACTTTGCCTTTCATGTTTTCTTTGACAGAGAACTAGTAAAAAAGCTAGAAATCACAACTAAAGGCTTGTCTAAAGTATAAATAGTTTTGTCTAATTTGTGTTTACCAAAGTCCAAATAATACATTAAATTAAGAAATGTGCTTACTTAGCTATTTCTGGAAAGCCATCACTACAGGACATATGGAGGGGAGTCCATCCGTCCTCATGCCTCTGGGTGATGTCAGCCCCAGATTTTACCAGAAGCTTCACACACTCCAGGTTTCCAGATAGGACTGCTTCATGAATGGCTGCCATGCCTGGACAATCAGCAAGGAGTTAATGTTAAAGGACAGGCTCAGACAGCTCAATTATCAGTAGATTAAAGCTTGAGGCACTTTGGATTATATTATCAAACAGTCAGAGCTAACTAGACAAAAATGGCATTGCTGATTATTAGGATAAATTGCCTTTATTAGAGATCAGGGAATGCATAACTGCATTTTAATTACTTGCATGCAGAGTATATAGTTGAGACTGAGCATAGATTTACTTTCCATAGCTGACTCAGTTAAGTACACAAGTAGTTGGTTTTCCTACCTGAATGGTAGATGGTGTCCAGACTCACTCTTCTGGTTCTAATGAAGCGTACAATTCTCTCCAGCTCTCCTTGACGGACATGATCCTGAAAGACTATGTCATTGGGAAAGTGAACATTGCGAACAGGTTTGATAGAAGGCCGTGAATGAAAGCATGACACTGGTCTAGTGTCATTTGGATTGCACCCCTCATAGTGCATGGTCTGGGTGACTGGACACTGGTAGTACTTCATTCTTTAATGTTCTTGTTCCAAAGATTGGATGAAAAATTCTGCACTAATTCTCAATGTGGCTAAAGGTTCAGCACAATCAGAGGTCTTCAGAATTTCTTCTTTTCCAAGGTGCTTGATGACTGCAGCTTCTCAGTCTGTCTGGTTGTTTGTTTGTCTCTTGATGTAGAGCACCTTCCTAGACAGTCGTTCAGAAGTTTGTCTGAAGTCAGGGCTCTATGTGTACCCTATATATACCCCCCACTAGACTATATTAAGAGACTGTCGTCTCATAGTGGAGATGCCTGAATTGGAAGACGAGTGGGTGTGATCTGGAGTCACACCCCTACAATTCTCAGCCAACTTAGCAATGAGATCCGTAACCTCAGCTTGTTTTCACACACCACATTTGAACCAGGCCTTTCCCCCACCCCAGCTCCTGTTGCCACACAGCAGGGAAGCCAACATTAATTTCTAGCACACAATGAATAGGGTATAAAAATGGTTTATAGGCACAGCCTGGCAAACGTGAAGGCAAGGGCAAGTTGACGGTCACAATTAGAAGTTTAAAATAACACTTGAATAAACAGCCTGGCTCTTTATCTTTAAGTTGGCTGCCAGCAAAAAGATGCTCTTGCTCTATTTGCAGATGACCGTTTAATCACATTAATATGTCATAATTCCTGACAGCAGGCCTTACAGTGATTTCTAGTTTAAGTCTACCTAACGTTCTATTTTGTGGGCTATTATTACTCAGCACCTACCAACAGTTCCAGAAGTTTCTCCATGTTCTGGGTATAACACAGGGTATAAGTTATTTAAAACGGTAAAAACCCAGTGAGACATGGAACGCTCACCTCCAAAAAAACCCCCCCCAAAAAAACCTTAATTCATTCATCATGTACTCAACCTCATGTCATTCCAAACCCACAAACTGTATTTTTTGTCAACCTGTTAATGCAGCTCTTAGGACAACTTTCAATGGCAATTATTGTCAAGCTCCAAAAAAGCACTAAGAAAATATAGTACAAGCAGTTCAAAGAATTTATCAGTTTTAAAGTCCCATAATAGCTTTGTGGGATGACAAGACAGTAATTTTTTTCATTCTATATTCCCTTCTGGCACAGCTCCAAAAACCCATTATTTTCATTGGCTGCATAACTTTTGTTGTTGTTCCTTCATTTTAGCTTGACAACTATGACCACTATGAGGTCTTTGTTTTACTAATGCATTACTGAACCACATTGAATTGTCTTATCAACTGACTGAATCAGTCATTTTAAAATAGAAAGTAGTCAAATAAAATTCACCAAACATATTTATTACCATTTTGTTGTTTATTTGGCCACCAGTTTTCATTATCAATATCAATGCAATGGAATGCTTTGTCTCAAACATGTTGACAAATTTCAAAACCCAAATCCCTCTCAATTGAATTCCTAAACCCTCCCTTTCTTTAAACATCACCCCTGAAATTCACTGCTCCTAGAAAAATAAAGACAGACAACAAGAGGGTTAACCAAATCATAGACACGCACAACCCTGAACCCTGGCATAAGGAGAAAAGACTGATTAAGTTGGTTACAAGCACACTTTCTCCTCCCCGTCACATGGACCACTCCGACATAGTCAACTGGCATTATACCTCCAGGTGGAAGGAATCTTCCACTAAAGTGATGGAAAGCAGGAAGGGTACGGGAGAGTTATTGTCCTTACAAGATGGTAAATCTTCATTTCAGTAACTGATATGGAATCTCTGATGGCACTGAATGAAGTGCAAAATAAGGTTTCAAATCATCCTCCCACATCGGCCAACTCTGCCCCAGGTAATTCAACAAAAGTGCTGTTTCTGGGCCCTTCAGTATGGAAGATAATAAAAAGAAAATAACTGAAATATAAAATTAAATAAAACAAGTTCTCCACTTTTACATCTTTAAAAATAATTCAGTAGCAGGTGTTAATTTGGAAAAGGAATACAAAAATGTGGTTTGACTAATGAAACGGGGAAGGTACCTCAGTTTGGTGTCTGCTAAATTTTTTTTCACACTATAATAATGGGCTGCTATTACAATTTTATTTCCACCCAAAGGTGAATGACATACAGCCCCCTCTACCCTGAAATGTCCACTCATTCATATCACAGAATTAAGTCAGAATAACTGGCTTTCCCCGTATTTCCAGTATTATACTGCAAAAAATCTTCACTGAGCCTCCGGAACACAAAAGGAGGTAGTGGGCAGGTATAAAGAGCAGTTCAACAGATTACCATTAGAATTTAACCTAAAAACCTAATACAATTTAATGCAAAAAGTAAACTGTACAGTAAAACACTTCAAAGAGATAAAGTCGTTGTGGGCAGAGAGGCACTTCTCTGGGCTGCAGATGGTTGGGCTGGACTGGTAATGACAACTGGCTGAAAGAAGACCCTGTAACGCCCGGTGGCTGTTCGATTAGTTAGGAAAAGCTTTAGTGTTCACAGACAGGGAAGTTTAAAGTGGAGGTGGTGGTGGTGAAGGGGTTTGTCTTGCCTTTTCCTCCTGACTCTTATAACTCATCGTGTCCCTCTTCCACATCTGAATCATCCTCTGCATCATCAAGATCCAGATCCTGTGGAATGAGTTAGATATTCTTCTTAGAATACATGTAAAAACATTTTAGTGCAATGGCATCAATTTGGATATTTGCCCACCAAAACAAATGTTTTCAAGCACAATCATGGTCATCCCTACCAGAAGGCCATGTGTACTAGCATGACTGCAATTCATCAAAACAAATCTGCCCTGCCACAAACATGCCAGTAATCCCTGCAGCAAAACAAGTGCAACCGAAATGAGTTCACAGGGGCTGAGACGTGATCACCAGCAGTGTTCGGTTGCAGAGTCCTTTCCTCATAGCTGGGACATGTGGACTAGCTAGTGTTGACTGACTTAGTCCTGTCAGTGGTGGTGGTAAGTGGTGGGGAGGGGGGGAAATTGGAAGGTAAACAGCTATAACAGTTGTGTTGGGCATTAGTGGCAATGATAATGTTCTAAATTTAAACTTCCTAGAAGCATTCCTCTGGATGGATTTCTGTGGTCCTGGATTGTGCCTAAACAAATGTGATAAACTTCAGAATCTATGAGCCAAATGGTTTAGAATGAACCAAAAATAGGCCATTAGTCTAATATGATCTGGAGATCAGTGAAGCCAGCAAGACAAAAAATGATCAACTAATAAACCCATTCACTTGAAATACTGGTAGTTTTAGCTTGTCTAGTGGCATTTAGTAACTGACAACCATAACTAGTGTTTGCTTATGCTAACTTACGGGTGGGTGACCTCACAATTTTATAGTGCGATTAATCTCCATATCACAATCTACCTTTCAAGCGAATTATAGAGATTGTGATTCTTTTAAGTCCACGTAATAATCGGTAATGTCATGCACCAATTGGTCTGTGCAGCATGGCTTCAAGTCGAACACTCCTAATATTAAAACTACAGAACTGACTGCCTATTAGATGGCTGTGCTGTCTGGCCAAATGATATCACGTGTCTCTATCATGTGACGTGATCAAAACAATTCAATGCAAGCTAGCAGTAGGGCTGTGCAATTAATCAAATTTTAGTTTGTTTCAATTTTGGCTTCCAATGATTATGAAAGGTTGATCATTGTGCTGCATGCCATTTCTTTCCTTCCCCAGGTGCTTTCTGCATGCGCACTCCGTTTAAGCATGCACCTGAAACTCAAAGTGAACTTTGCTTGTCCATGTTGTTTCACTCAGTCAAATATACACAAAATGTCAATTTTGGCAAGTATTTACATGAAGACAGTCAGTTATGTCTTAAGTGAACAAAAAGCTGGGAAAATAATCATATGTATCAGTATTAGATCCATGCATTTGGTATGTCTTTAGCGCTGTCTGTGCAATTAATGTTACTCAACTGAATAATTTTAGTAGCTTTAATAGCATCAATGTACATTTAATTCATACAGTGAAGACTATTCAGTGTTTTAACATTGTTCACCATTTTGACAACCGATTGTTTAATGCAATAAATTGTGCAAATAGATAAGGCTATAGACTTGTTACAGTCTGGATATTCTCTAAATATTTAGGGAAGAACACCCACCCAGTGCTAACTTTAAATATTTGAAAAGCAGACCTCACAAAAAGGTTCACATCAAGCTTTTAAGGAGAGACTCAAAGCACGGCTCCATTTCAGTACCCCAGACTACAAAACGAGCAAGGAAACATTTCTAGAGAACATTTACTCCAGAAGCAGTTCTATTCACCTGCATACTTTATGGATTAATATTAATTGGTGCAGATGAAACTGTTGGCAATGACAATCATGCAGTAAAAAATGAACAACTGATTATGTTCTAATGATACAAATGTCAAAAGATTGATCTTTTCCATCTTCTGAATCTTCAGAAGCAAAGGGTCATCCAGTAGGCAGTTATTTTTTAGGACACTTCATTTGGGTGTCAGAAATTAAGGAAATCAGCATCAAGAATCTGATAAAGTAACTGAAAATCTAATCATTGTAAATGCTTGCAAACAAACATCTCCCTGAATTAAGCCAAAACTTTAAGGTTGAAGGAGAAACTGGGCCACTTTAATGGACTGCATCACTCAGGCTCTTGGCAAGTGCCTGTCCGACAGATTTGCAGCAGGGTCTTTTACCCCCTGCAGAGGAGGACCAGAGCCAGGAATGCCCATGAGAGCGCAAAAAACTGCAGCTCCATAAGCAAACTCTCCAAGCTTACAATCAATTTTATTCCAACTATTGGTGAAGTATCAGCTTTTATTTTTATCTTTTTTTTTTTTTAAACTCATTTATGTGCACATGCATAACACTTCCAAAAGTTTAATTACTGAAGTAACAAACTAAGCAGAAACGATTTCTCTGTGGCCAAAGCTGCCAGATTTTCAATTGAAATTATGGTATGGTATACTTATGGTATGAACAAGTAACAATTCAATCAAGTTAAACAAAACAATTGAAGAAAAATTAAACTGCAACCAAATCATACATACATCAGAATCTTCATCCTCATCATCTCCTGCTGGTGCCCCACCTTCTTTTCCTCCACTCTCCAAAAACTTTGTGAATCCATCTAGTGTTCTCTCACCATTGTAGTCAATTACCTAAAGAAGGGGGGGGGGGGAAGACAAGGGAAAAAAATAAATAATTTAATAAAAAACAAAACAAAAAAACAAACATGCTACTGCTACTAAGGAAAGGAAGGAAGGAAAGGAAAGGACGTGTGGCCAAGTATGGTGTCCCATACTTGGAATTTGTGCTCTGCATTTAACCCATCCAAGTGCACACACACAGCAGTGAACAAACA